GAACAGGTAAGTCAGGTCTGGAGTGACAGAATGAAGTAGACTTGGCAAGGCATGGGCTGAACAGGTAAGGCAAGTCTGGAATGGATAGAATGAAGTAGACTTGGCAAGGCATAGGCTGAACAGGTAAGGCAAGTCTGGAATGGATAGAATGAAGTAGACTTGGCAAGGCATAGGCTGAACAGGTAAGGCAAGTCTGGAGTAGATAGAATGAAGTATACTTGGCAAGGCATAGGCTGAACAGGTAAGGCAAGTCTGGAGTGGATAGAATGAAGTATACTTGGCAAGGCATAGGCTGAACAGGTAAGGCAAGTCTGGAGTGGATAAAATGAAGTAGACTTGGCAAGGCATGGGCTGAACAGGTAAGTCAGGTCTGGAGTGGACAGAATGAAGTAGACTTGGCAAGGCATGGGCTAAACAGGTAAGTCAGGTCTGAAGTAGACTTGGCAAGGCATGGGCTGAACATGTAAGGCAAGTCTGGAGTGGATAGAATGAAGTAGACTTGGCAAGGCATAGGCTGAACAGGTAAGGCAGGTCTGGAGTGGATAGAATGAAGTAGACTTGGCAAGGCATGGGCTGAACAGGTAAGTCAGGTCTGGAGTGGATAAAATAAAGTAAACTTGGCAAGGCATAGGCTGAACAGGTAAGTCAGGTCTGGAGTGGATAAAATAAAGTAAACTTGGCAAGGCATAGGCTGAACAGGTAAGGCAGTCTGGAGTGGATAAAATAAAGTAAACTTGGCAAGGCATAGGCTGAACAGGTAAGGCAAGTCTGGAGTGGATAAAATGAAGTAGACTTGGCAAGGCAAGTCTGGAATGAAGTAGATTTGGCAAGGCATGGGCTAAACAGGTAAGCCAGGTCTGAAGTAGACTTGGCAAGGCATGGGCTGAACAGGTAAGTCAGGTCTGGAGTGGACAGAATGAAGTAGACTTGGCAAGGCATGGGCTGAACAGGTAAGGCAAGTCTGGAATGGATAGAATGAAGTAGACTTGGCAAGGCATAGGCTGAACAGGTAAGGCAAGTCTGGAGTGGATAGAATGAAGTAGACTTGGCAAGGCATAGCATAGGCTGAACAGGTAAGTCAGGTCTGGAATGGATAGAATGGGCTGAACAGATAAGTCAGGTCTGGAGTGGATAGAACTATGTAGACTTGGCAAGTCTGGAATGGATAGAACGAAGTTGACTTGGCAAGGCGAGTCTACATTTCAATGTACACTAAAAGCTGCGATCACAACAAAATAGTACAACATACACATACTAAGTTTGAAAGTGTAAAATTTTATTTTTTTTAATTGTTTTGAACATTTTAAGAAAGAGTCACAACAATTTAACTTAATAGTTGTCTAACTGTACACAACTCTTATTTTTTTTTTTAAATGTAGAATTTTTTGGAACTTTACAAGAAAAAAAAGTGGATTTATTTATGTTTATGATTGCAAGCTGTAAAGCAGGTCCAGTCCTTGCACCATTCTTATTTACTGGACAGATACATTCAGAAATTGTATTTGAACCAAGACAATGTTCAGACATTTTGACTACTTTTTAATACATGACTAAAGAAATAAACTGCAAATAACCATGGTATTAAAAATATGTTTTTAATTGTTAATATTTAGCGTTGTCTCTACGTATAAAATTATATAAATTAACAAAATCAAAACATATGTTGACAATAATTCATTTCTAAGTAACCATGGCAACAAAATAGAGATTACTAGTATACGAAAAATTTTGACTCAATATACCCAGATACAGTTCGAGTTGCCAAACCTGCATTAGCTTATGACCAAATTTCAATATTTTTTAGTTTAATTTATGTCCAACTCAGAAAAACTACAGAAAAGTCTAGAATGCTGTAAAAATATGATATTGTGGCCAACTGCAAATTAAAGGATGTATATGCTTCCTTGGAGGGTCAAAGTTCATGTAATTCAATGATGTAGAAAACACTTGCATTGTTTATATAGCATACAGAGCTCAGTCAATCCATTCAGAAAATTATAAGTCTTCACAAATCAAGAATAGCAAGTATTAAACAAATTTAAAACTATAATCAGGTAAAAGTTTAGAGCATGCTGTAATGATAAGTGTCGAGAACACAGCCAGTGACAACTATTGCATTCATCTCAATAGGCCAAGACAACATTACAACTCGTGTAGCAAAGAATAACTTGTATAAAAAATGATGAAAACTAGACTTGTTTTAAGTGCAGCTTTATGCAATATCTGGAAAGCAATGCTTTATATGTATACATACTTTATAAAATAAACGGCAAACAAACCACCTCTCTGGGCTATCAGATGTTTTTTGTTGTTGTTGGGGGTAGGGGCTATCTAAACATTGCCTACATTTGCATAATGTTGATGAGAACAGCAGTTGTCTGTGAACACTCCCCTCTTCAGGTATTATATTTAAATTCTTTTGTTTTTAACTTAGGGTCAAAGGTTGCATCACAACTCGTTTCACCTGCATTAAAAAGGTACATATCACCAATACAAACTATCTAAAAGTAGCTAGTCAGTTTATCAAAAATTGCAAGAAAAACTTTAGCACTTCAAGATTTTGAAATGAATTTCAAGATGGCAAGATTTTGGACTCTAGATTTATTCAAACAGTCATGTTTGAATTACTCTGATATGAGGTGAGGAAACTGCAAACTTTTACCAATATTTAATACAGATTTACTCCAAATATTTTATAAGCAGAATAATATGACCAAAGCAAGGTTCCCATTTTGCATCCAGATTACATCATACATCACATGACCTGGAGAGTGCCCTCTAGTGGTGTTATTTCCTGCTGTTTGACATCACACCCAAAGGTCACAGAATATATGTTAACATTTACAGGAAGTAAAGTATTGAGCCCTCTATTGTTGTAGCATGTTGACGTACCCTAGATAGGACATGAATAAGATGGCGTTGATTTGCTTTGAATTTTTTTGAAATGCCAGTAATTACATGCAGTTTATTTGAAAAAAAAAACTATAATTAAAAAGAAAAAAAAAGAAAGCATTTACACATTAGGGATACTGGGCAGATTCTGAAAAAAAAAACACAGCATCCCAGAATAAACATCTCAACCTCGTAATTACCCAACCAGTAACTAAAATACGTCACCACCGATTACCCGTTAAAAATATCAACAAAATCTATCGAGTCAATTTTTTTTTTAATATTGTTTCATATTTTTTTATTTTTTTTTATTCATATTTTTCCTCATTTTTTTAAAGAGCAAGGTAATAAAAAATCCTTAGTGTGATAAGCATAATAAAGAGAATTACTACATTGGACAGTATCAAAATTGCAAGAAAGTTGCAAAAACATGGGTCAGACATAAAAGTATCGTTACAGCTTTTTATAATATTCAACAGTGGGTTTGCAATCAAATCATACTAAAAAAAAAACTATTCTGTAGAAACATTTCCACATTAGCTGAACAGATTTCCAAGTATACACTGTAGTAAAGAATTAACTGTGCAGTGAGCTCTTCTCACTAATAAATAATTACTGAAAAATATGAAGTCTTAATGTCTGTATGAATGCAAACATACACTCAAACTATATTTTTACTGCATGTATTTCATGTTTTCTAGTTTAATTCTCTTGACAATGTGTGACTCACAGCTAAAAGTTGAAGTAACAAACAATTGCACTTTGACCTTGTTTCTTCCAACACAGGACGGCAGTAGTTCAAAATGCAAGATGCATTTTTTTTTGCATCAAGCGTTATTCTCTGCATTGAAAATATAACCACTACTGATAAACTTTTCAGACCCCCTAACTCAGTGATGCACACTAAGCTTTTCAGACCCCCTAACTCAGTGATGCACACTAAGCTTTTCAGACCTCCTAACTCAGTGATGCACACTAAGCTTTTCAGACCCCCTAACTCAGTGATGCACACTGATAAGCTTTTCAGACCCCCTAACTCAGTGATGCACACTAAGCTTTTCAGACCTTGTAACTCAGTGATGCACACTGATAAGCTTTTCAGACCTCCTAACTCAGTGATGCACACTGATAAGCTTTTCAGGACCCCTAACTTAGTGGCATAAGTAACTTTTAAAAGTTGATTCACTTTGACCATTACCAATAGCCCAAGTTGGTAACCAAGATACGATATGTAACTTGCTTTCATCTCACATTTTGCATACTTGAAATTCAATCAAACTACCAGTTAATTAAGGTTCACATTTCTAATTTACGTTTTGAGTTCTATTTCTGTCAAAATGAGAAGTAGTAATGACATTTCAATGAGAGCAAGTTACTGTAAAAAGTAAGTCAATTTTAAGAAACCATCTTGAATATAAACACATTTTGTACAAGACGACATTGATTTATAGAAAATGCTGTAATTGAAAATGGCAACCAAAGTGGGAATCATGAGGTCAAAGTTCACCAACTAAGTTCTGGAGAGAACAGTACAAAACAAATACACAGGTTGTTTTCAAAATGAATGTCATTTTATACATACAACAGTCATTGCTATCACTAAAATAAAAATTAGGCAGTCACTCTATAAAAAAAATAACATTCTCAAGTTAAAAATTAATCCTGCTTAGGAATTTATGCATTTTTACAAACCTTTTCCCATGATGCAATGCAGAATGCAGTCGCCATTGATATCAAGTCACACATGTTGATAAGCACTCGTGTTTACTACATCTGCCATGTCTGCTTAGAATGATGCCTAAACAAGTTTACCATATTTGCCATGTCTGCCGAAATAAGTTTACCATATTTGCCATGTCTGCCGAAATAAGTTTACCATATTTGCCATGTCTGCCGGGACTAGTTTACCATATTTGCCATGTCTGCCGAGACTAGCTTACCATATTTGCCATGTCTGCCGAAATAAGTTTACCATATTTGCCATGTCTGCCGAGACTAGTTTACCATATTTGCCATGTCTGCCGAGACTAGTTTACCATATTTGCCATGTCTGCCGAGACTAGTTTACCATATTTGCCATGTATGCCGAAATAAGTTTACCATATTTGCCATGTCTGCCGAGACTAGCTTACCATATTTGCCATGTCTGCCGAGACTAGCTTACCATATTTGCCATGTCTGCCGAGACTAGCTTACCATATTTGCCATGTCTGCCGAAATAAGTTTGCCATGTCTGCCAAGACTAGTTTACCACATTTGCCATGTCTGCCGAGACTAGCTTACCACATTTGCCATGTCTGCCGAGACTAGCTTACCACATTTGCCATGTCTGCCGAGACTAGCTTACCACATTTGCCATGTCTGCCGAGACTAGCTTACCATATTTGCCATGTCTGCCGAGACTAGCTTACCATATTTGCCATGTCTGCCGAGACTAGCTTACCATATTTGCCATGTCTGCCGAGACTAGCTTACCATATTTGCCATGTCTGCCGAAATAAGTTTACCATATTTGCCATGTCTGCCGAAATAAGTTTACCATATTTGCCACGTCTGCCTAGAATGTCAACCAATTTAGGATTAGTTGTTTCATAATCAGCCTACCATATGAAACTTGCACTAAATGCACAGCTTGTACCTACAACTATTCAAATGTATGAATGAGGATGTTTTGGAGGAACCGATTGGTGTATTTTCAGTCATGTCCACTATTGCATCATGGGAAGTTTGAACATTCAGCAAAGATAGGCAAAGTCCTGAATTTCACCTGGCAACGAAATGCCCTTAAAATGCACCACTGTAAACAAGAGAGGGAGAAAAAGAGAGAGGAGGGGTGCCTACATTCGAAGTTCTCTCATTCTTGAGCCTTTCTGCTGCAAAACCTGTCAATGAAATAAAATGAGAATTGTAAACTGTCAATAAATGATGTGACATCACTGTAGTGTGATGCATCGATGATGTGACATGATGGGCAAGGCATCGCTGTAGTGTGGTGCATCAATGATATGGCAAGATGAGCAAGGCATCACTGTAGTGTGATGCATCAATGATGTGGCATGATGGACAAGGCATCGCTGTTAGTGTGTGCATCTATGATGTGAAATGATGGGCAAGGCATCACTGTAGTGTGATGCATCTATGATGTGACATAATGGGCAAGGCATCACTGTAGTGTGATGCATCAATGATGTGATATGATGGGCAAGGCATCACTGTAGTGTGATGCATCAATGATGTGATATGATGGGCAAGGCAGCACTGTAGTGTGATGCATCTATGATGTGACATGATGGGCAAGGCAGCACTAGTGTGATGCATCTATGATGTGACATGATGGGCAAGGCATCACTGTAGTGTGATGCATCGATGATGTGATATGATGGGCAAGGCATCATTGTAGTGTGATGCATCAATGATGTGACATGATGGGCAAGACATCACTGTAGTGTGATACATCTATGATGTGACATGATGGGCAAGGCATCACTGTAGTGTGATGCATCGATGATGTGATATGATGGGCAAGACATCACTGTAGTGTGATACATCTATGATGTGACATGATGGGCAAGGCATCATTGTAGTGTGATGCATCAATGATGTGACATGATGGGCAAGACATCACTGTAGTGTGATACATCTATGATGTGACATGATGGGCAAGGCATCATTGTAGTGTGATGCATCAATGATGTGACATGATGGGCAAGGCATCACTGTAGTGTGATGCATCGATGATGTGATATGATGGGCAAGGCATCACTGTAGTGTGATGCATCGATGATGTGATATGATGGGCAAGGCATCATTGTAGTGTGATGCATCAATGATGTGATATGATGGGCAAGGCATCATTGTAGTGTGATACATCTATGATGTGACATGATGGGCAAGGCATCATTGTAGTGTGATACATCAATGATGTGACATGATGGGCAAGGCATCACTGTAGTGTGATGCATCGATGATGTGATATGATGGGCAAGGCATCACTGTAGTGTGATGCATCGATGATGTGATATGATGGGCAAGGCATCATTGTAGTGTGATGCATCAATGATGTGACATGATGGGCAAGACATCACTGTAGTGTGATACATCTATGATGTGACATGATGGGCAAGGCATCACTGTAGTGTGATGCATCGATGATGTGACATGATGGGCAATATGAATACGTTACCTTTGCTCTGTCTGTGGGTTCCGCCTCTGTCCCATTGACAGTATTGCTGAGTTCTCTTGATACCACGCACAGGAACTCAGATTGGTCTTCATTGCCATAATTATATGATGACCCTATGTTTATGAGCTGAAATTTTTTAATTAACACAACACTGTCAACTATTTTAAAAAGAAAATAAATACTGAGATGATTGTCTATATCACCCAAAAGTTAACTATAATACCTTCCTCATTTAGTTTTTCAAACTCTGTCTGTATGTTGATGACCTTAATGAATTCATACCCACCTTTTGTAACTGTTCTTGCACAATTAACAATATAGTGAAACTCATCTCTCAATGTTGCTCATGTAACTTAATTTGCAAATACTTCCCTTCCGTACTTCCCCGTGTATAAGCCCAGGGGCCTGAACATGTTAAATCGGGAAAATTAGGGGGTGGGCTTATACTCGAGGACCACCTCAGAAAAGATAATTTTTTGGGGGGTTTAAAATTGTAACCCTTTTCCCAACCTCAAAAAATCATCAAAATTACATTTTTCGTTTACAGCGCTGGTCTCTGAGATTTCCACAACACTTTTTACAATGAAGAAACAAATATGTTCATAAAAATACACACATTTTATTACAATACAGTTTACATACCATCTGAATTTACGTTGCAAAAATGGGTAGGGTCTGTGGGAAAACTGTTGAAGGCAAGATCTTCATTATCTTCGTTGTGGAATGTTTTTGAGCGCTCGCAAACTCTCGATACAAAGCAATTTTCGCCATGGTATTTTTCATCATGATTTGACCTGAAAAACTACCTTTGACCTAACAGGTCATGTCTTTTGTTAACCAATCAAAATGCTGTGTCGTACAGACAAAGTTTTCCGATTATTGATGAAGTAATTTTTTCAATGCAATGCGGAAGTGAATTACCACGATGTTAAAATGCGATCTGATTTCGCAAAAAACGGTGATTTTTTTCCCCTAATGCTGTTGTGATTTGCAATTTTCGAAAAGTAAACTGAGGGTGGAGGAAGTATTTAAACGTTTTACAGTCGCCAACAAGTCATGTCGAAGAATAGTTTGCTGGTTCACATCCCAATCACGAAGGTTTCAATGAACACGATTATTCGGAAAAGTAAAACGAAGTTCAATGACCATTTTTTGCGTTTCTAAAACCACTACTCAAAAGGAATATGGATTAATTACTTCAGTATTGCAACATTGGGATTCATCGTGAGTAAATAACAGAATAGAAAAGGTGCAAACCATGCTCTGTATGCTCGCCGGTCATGCACTCTGAAATTAATGGAGTTTTCTCGTAAAAGCAGGAACCAAACTACCATACCAATCACGATCATTATGCAATGAAATACACTTTTTACTTGCATATTTTAATAAATGTCGTCGACGCTCGGTAAATCCCCCTGGGCCTATACTTGGGATACCCTCAACTTGTTAAATGTCTAAAAACAGAGATTGGGCTTATACTCTGGGAAGTACGGTACCCCTGTTAGTGACCATCATTTATGAAGGAAATTGCTCGACCATTTCATTCTAGAATTGCTAACTGATATGGTGTACGGTATGTTAATAAACCATTCAACCCAGATGGCTTAAATTAGTGGCAGAATGAACTTTTCACTGGCAGGCTATACTTCTTCACCACAGATTGTGGTGCCAAACAAGTCCATTATAATCAGCCTGACTTAGGAGTGCAGTTAGTGGGTATAAGGTTCCAGGACCCAACTGGTGTTGCCATCAGTGAAGGTGGAGGGGAAGGAGAAAATGAAACAATGCACTAGTGGCCATTTTTAATGCTAAGTCACACCACCTAGAAACCATTTTGAGTGCTTAGTGATACCACTTGGTGACCATTTTGAATGAGTGGTACAGCCTAGCAATATCCTTCACATGTGCCATGAACTAATAAAACAATACTGTATTATAAACTTCCTAGAATTTAGTAAATATACATAGAATCTCAGAGGTTTAACACTTTTCTGGTGTTCATGGCCAAGATAGATGGAGCTATTATCAACATACCTGTTCAAATCTCCAGCCGTCTGACATCGTTGATACCATTTGGGTCACTTCTTCTTCTTGACATTGCAGGACTCTATAAACATGTTTTCTTGGTGCCTGCAGTAGAACAAGATGGCAAAATTGAATATTTTAGTAAATAAAATACAAGTGCGGACAGGCTACATAGAGTGCTTTTCAGAATTTATATTTATTGTCTGAGAAAAGCTAAATTGGAACAGACTGGTATAAAAACGTGTGAATTTGATATACACTGTACAAGCATTTCTATGTCAACAATTAATTGTCCTTGTACCAAGTTGAAAGATTGAATGCGTTATACAAAAACACAAAATTGTTGACATAAAAAAAATGGCCGCCAGTTGGCTTATTTCAACAAATTCAAAAAATTAATGAGTGTGCCTAAGCAAACCAATATATTCTGTTTCCCCAAGTACAAAAAGAACTGTTTTGCATACATAAATTCAGTATTTTGTGACAATATAGCCATCAGTCGTTTTGAATCTGATTGGAAACAAAAATGAGAAGTATATGTATACCATTATACATTATGATTCACCAAGTTTGTAAACAAGCAGCCTGTCGGCTGAGATAGCTCCGCTGTTAGAAAGGCTCATTACAATTAAAGAACTGAAAATATCATTAGAAAATGAACAATATGTATAGTATCAAAGCAATCAGACTTGTTGTTTTCAACAAGAAGTCGAAAATATCACTTTTTACCAAAAATTACAAAAATATTATCATTATACAAAGATATCATCATGAATTGAACAAATCTAAGAGGTCTACCCAAGGTAAATATACACCTAGTATCAACGCATTCAGGCTTGTAGTTTTCAAGAAGAAGTTGAAAAAGTAAAACATTGACACAGGCGACGCCGAACAATCACTCATATGATAAGCTCTGGTCGACAAAGTCAACAGCAGAGCTAAAGAAAATGCAGATGGACAGAATTCATTCTTTAAGCCCCTAGAAATGTGTCACAGCTAATGAAAATCAACAAACTGTGAAAAGACATAATAATGTTGACGTACATGTACCTGAGAAGATGTTGCATTCCTTTCTCGTATTTTCTCTTTTACTAACTTAATAAGGGCTGTAATATTATAGAACTCTGCTTCTTCAAGAACACCTGAATACGAGTATAGAAGATTTGTAAGAAAGGAAAGCACTGAGGTATGTCAAATAGATTGATAGATGGATTGGGAGATGTCATTGTATGCATAATGGTAGACAAGTGAGAAACAGCTCCAGACATGTTGAGTTATCAGAAATACATTGTAGTCAATGTCCAAAATGGTAAGTATTTCGACTTGCATACGTAAGACATGATGGTATTTTCTTTGTGTAATGTTTGAACGAGATCAATCAATGAGTGTCTGAGATATAACTCCAGATGGATATGACCAAAATTAAACGTTCCCATTTTTGGTGTTCAAATGAGGACTACCATAACAAGTCATTGTCAATGTCATAGTCTCGACAGTTTTTTTAGTGACTGTATCAACTATAAACAAAGAAAGAAATACAGTCATGTAGACAGATTATAACTAAATGTTGGATATCCAGCATGTTAAAAATATTGTCTTGAAATTGGAGAAGTTCCACAGATCTCTGTGTACTACACCAACCTGACCGAAAACATTAAATCATCCATTTCAAATTAATTAGTTTTATGATTTCATATCAAGTTTAAATGAATCCGGCCCAGGTACATGTATGCCTCATATATGTACCTTGGCATAATATTTTATCGTGTTTTTGTACCTATCTCAATACTTGACGTGCATCAGTAACTCATTATGCAAGATGTCCATATCAAGTTCAAATGAAATCAGCACACACATTCCTAAGCAATAGTTGATGGAAGGTTCAAAATTTTTTACAAAAGAACAAATAAAACGAACAGAATACTAGTAAAAAAACAAAATGGCTGCCTGTCGACTATTTTGAAGGAAATTGCGATATGAAAAGATGAGCATCAGTAACCCACCATGATTTTGAGCGTTTTTTGAAACAAAAAATAGTCGCCAGTCAAATGTTAACAAAATGAAAGACAAATCGACATGCTTATGCATCACATTATGACTTGTCCTTGTACGAACCTTGAACAAAATCGGTTCAGTCATGTCAGAGAAATTACGATTGACAGACACACTCACACAGAACCCAAAATATAACTTTGTTCAACGGGTAGTAAATATTTTGTACTTTATTACAGTAAATACAGTTATAAGTTAGAATTAGAACCAGTCGGAACAATGCATTTATAATAATTTCAATTTCCAACGACTGATTAAATCTGTCTGGAGTTGCCATGACAACCACAAAAGAATAACATAATACTGAGATGGTGACATATCTGTTGTGTTGTATTCAGTGAATGAAAAATTGACAAGATGACATCGGTTGCTTTCACAGCTGTTGCCAAAAGAACAAGAAGAGTTTCCTGGCCAGTGGTACATGTATATCGATCAACTAAAAAGTGAATTTAAAGTACTTTAGAGACTAAAATGTCTTTTTGGAAAAGCATAACAAACAACATTTGGTAGTTTGTTTTAGTTGTGTGGTTGGTTATAATATTACAGCAGACACGTTTTTTGCCATGTTTTGAAAGATTGCTGAATCCTGAATATACAAATAACCCAGGTCGTATTGTATTTTTTTTCTCTCTAGAAATCCAATTAATAAGAGCTTGGAAATTCGATATACTGATAGGCAAGTCGCTAATTGAGCATTGGTGCATATCATCTGGCACCATCATAAGATGTAGAACCAACAGAATGTAGAATGAACATATTGGTTACAATTATACAAAATACGACATATGGACATGTACAGTCTACCATTCGATCAAATTTGCAGAGGTTGTTGCCTAAACATTTGTTGAGTGAATGCCAAATCAACAATGCACTTTATTTGAAATCTTATTACAATCGTCAAATCATTTTTATTGATTTGTTTCAAGGGGTAGTATCAATGAATGTCTACTTCATGATTGTACCAGGTGATACAATACTGTAAAACACGTTTAAATAGCTACATGCCATTTTAGTGAATTTGACTCCATGCATGAACTAACTGAATCTTAATTTAGCTAAAGTTCCAACAATCTCACTGTGAGAATATACTTTATTTTAAATTATTGACATCTTGAATTAGCAAAATTACAGATTAGCTAAATTAGTTAAAATAACATGCTAGCTAAACAGACACGTTTTACAATAATTAATAACAGAGATACTTTATCAGTGTTTCAGGTCTGAAATAAATAAAAAAAAAAAATTCTAAATGCACAGGACATGGAAAGACAATTCATTAGAGTTAACATGGAGGGTCTCAATAGTCGAGTGGGGGAAAAAAACATGGTAAGCATAGGTTCATGAATAATTCATGACAGGTTCATGAATAATTCATGATTGACTCATGAATAATGTATTATTAGACTAATATACAAGAATAGACTGAAAGTCAAATATGGAAATAATAATAATGTTATAATACTGACCTTCTTCTGCCACGTCTTTATTAATGACAAGTTTACCATGCCGTAGATAATTGAGAACGGGACCAAAATAAATAGGGTCTCTGTCAATCAAGTAAGCACCATTTTCATCCTGCGAGTAACAAAAGAATAAAATCAAGTTTAAAAACTAATGCTGCATGTTAAGGGCAAGGCAAATGACGAGCATGAATAAGGATACTGAAAATACCTAAAATTATCAAAATGTGCAAACAAGCTTATTAACTGAAACCCATTCAGAAATAAACCTATTTGACCAAGTTGTACATGTACATGACTAATACGCAGAATGACAGAAATGCTGGATTTTGATTCATTTTTAGCACTAAAATAAATGCCGATTGGCCATCTTGAATTGGATCGTCAAATGAATGCAGATTCACATGCACACTAAAAAATAACCAAATAAATTAGAATTATTACAGTACTTGGCAAAAGGTACGATAATTTAGTGTGGATGATATAGGTCTGCCTTAATTAAGTAAGTTTTACTATAACCCAGTTCATGTTAAAACATGGTAACCCCATAATTTTGAAACAAAACATGTTAAAAAGGTCTCATTGAAACTGTGTAGTGAACATAATAAAGTCATTTAACCCTTCGAAGGCTTATTTAAAAACCCAGTTTCAATTTGGGTAAATTAGTTTAAATTTTATGTAATTGAGTTCAAACTTAATTTTGGACAAAACATACAAAATGCTACATTGTTTCTAGTTTTTGAGCAGACTAATGGTGTCAGAAGTTACCGTTGGCACTCAAAGGGTTAAAGGCTGACATTTACGTCCCATGGGATGGGCGGAGCTTAGTATTCTAATTTGACTCATTATTCAACAACAGCAACTGTCAATCGTTCATTAAAGATAACCAACGTCTGCGCTAATCTTTTGTTTATGTGTATAGTTACTGATCTGAGCTGTGACAAACTATAAGAATACACATATTTTTTTTTTATATTTAAGTTAATTTTATTTCTTTTCAAAATAACAAATACACAAGAAAAGAAAAGAAAAGAAAAAGGCTGTACACACTAACTGGTGCACATATAACTACAGGAATAATTGCTGGGAGCGGCTTATGAATGCAGTTGATCGTTGATAAGTTGATTTCAACCACCGTCTGTGTTTTCAAACAGACACATCATTTTCTGTCTGGGATTGACAACCTCATGCCCCTACGTTACAAAGAAGCTCATCTGCGTTTTCTTTCCTGTAATTCATTCCATTGTATTCTGTTACATAAACAATGCATTAGTGGTGTTTATTTCATTTTGAAAACGATGTGGGCGGAGCTTACATTTCCAGGAAATCCAAAACTCATTTTCCCAGCAAAACTAAATGGTCTCGCTGTCAAATTCACTAATATTTTTATTTATGGCTTCCCTGAACATTCATGGCGTCACTCACGTTTGAAAAATAGAAAATATAATGGAATGAATCACTGTTTCTCGTGTTTTTGTGGAGCTTTGCATCACCGCTGTTGGTGTGGGAGAAGCCGACTTTTGATTAATTGCCTTCATGGCCACCATAAATTCGGAATCCTGCAACATGCCACTGTTTTTAATAGTTCAATTATGCGTACACTTGTAAAGTGCACATCTCAAACATGGTACAATATTTGCTAGAGATATGCAGTGATAACTGCTTATAAATGAATGTAGAAAATACATTTTCAGTTTTGCTGATTAATGCTTTATGGTTGGATCGTTGGATGCGGTTAACTAGTACAAATCCTGAAATATATATACAACAAATTCTTGATGTTATCGAGTGAGAGGCATTGCATATTAAAACCAATACGTCTAAGGGACAACATCAAAAGTTCAATGTAGGATAAAAAACTTAATTCCTTTAGTCCCCCCCCCCCCCACTGAAACTTAATTGACGAATATTGATCATGGCGTCAGACTACATTCATTATTAAATACAAATTGATAATTTGATAATCGGACAGTAGTATGGCATAGCAGTTGGTTGTAATAATGAAGGGGAATATATACGCCTGCGCAAACTACTTTTCTGGGTTCTGCGCATGCTCCAAGTTCATGCCCTGAAATTAACCTTATTTCATGCACCAAACCATTTTGTCGTTTTGAATGTGTTCTTTTTTTATTTTCTGTTATTACTCATGAACTACAAGTACTCCAAGATTTATTTTGACTTCATTAAAAAATAAAATCGTTTTTGTCGAATGGAAACTTTTTGAGGTCAAAACACCCCACCCCCAAACTAAAGCAAATAAGTCCCCCCCCCCGACATCGATCTTTTGACGTTGTCCCATATGGCGACAATATATATTGGAATATATATTGGAATATCTTTCTACCTCAAAATGTAGTTACAAAATGTTTCTATAATTTCTGTATTTTTATGAATTCGTAGAAAGAAATACTGAAAAATTATCCAAGTTTATTTTGTGAAAGGTGACAGAAGATTACTTTGCGGCTCAGAGGATTAATGTCTACATCTGTAAATCTGTATTTTGACCATCTTATATATATAGTTTGACATGTGCTAGTGGAATTTACGGAAGGGCTCAGAGGGAATATACTATTACACATACCTACATGTATACACATGCAGCGTATGAAGATAACAAACAACACACACTGGTCTGTTTATATCCAAAGCATGTTTAGATCTGATCAAGTCAAGACGATGACAGCATTTGTTTATTTGTATATTGCCTAGATCAAAACACCTGTGGTGTTCACCTAGTAATGTATCGGGGTCAAATGATTTCCAAGACTTTTCCAGACGTTTTCCCAAACTTTCTTGCATTTTTCCCTAAAGACATTTTGACCCTTAATTCAGGCCAACATCATCACCAAAGTTCATCAAAGTTCTGAGGATATGTACATGTAGTTCCCTGGAGAAAAAGGCCCTTTCTAAAAATGAATTAATAACTATGAAGAAATTTAAAGACTTTTCAAATATTTTTTATTATTATTCCTGTAATTTGAAGACAACTCAAAGACTTTTCAGACCTCAAAAAATCCAAAGACTTTCAAAGGATTTCCCCAACGCTATGGACCCTGTGTGTACTTCTCTAAACGGCATCTTTTTACAAAGAGAAATGTACACAATTAGATAGTTGTAGCATCAAATTTCACTCTAAACGACCCTGGTGATTTGTCACTACCGTATTTGCTCTAATAGTAGCACATACACTTATGTAAACTACAAAGGTGTTAAAAGATCCTGCAATTGTGCAAACCAAATGTTTCACATTATCTCAAATTTACATGTAGCTGTAGGAATGCTCTACGAGTATAACTTATTATACATCTGTCACCGTTACGCCACAAGTTACAGAGTGCCGTAAATTTGCGGTATTGCACTGGGTATTTTCATCCTAACATATTAGGAAACCCAAATTCCAAATATGGAAGGATTATGTGCGCAAGTGTCCTCTAATAATAAAAACAAACATGGCTGCCCCCTGGGTTTGATTGGACCCCACATAAAGAAGTTCGCTAATTATTTTCTAAATGTTTTGGATTTCGGCATTCCTATGATGTATTCTTGGTGGAAAAGATGTATAATAATAAGGTTATTATGAGGATACTGCAAGGTATGCATTCAGACAGTATGTGGTCGCATTGACTTCTGCTGCGTGACGGTCGTTACTCATGCTTTCCTGTCTTTATGCATACTTTTCAGTATCCTCGTAATACCTTATATACACAGTTCATATACTGCTCAAATTAATGTATATTTTTCTATCCCAGATATAATTTATATTTATACATATTTACAATTAATACTTACATGCAATAGAGAATATAACAACTGTACATTTTAATTTATTGAAAAGTAAAAATAACATTACAATCTGGTATCAGTGAGGGATTAGTTACTACTAATTGGGAAATTCTATATAGAATTATGTACATTATATTGTTGTTGAATACCGTATGTTGGTACCGTATTGGATTAGAAATTCTCCTAAACTAAACATACAAAAACTATCTATACCTTGCATGTACATGAATATAGAATTCAGATTTGTGAAGTGAGCCTGATCTTTGGAAAATTTTGACATCATTTGCATTCAATAGAAGATTTTTCCCTTCACTGTGAGATCTTGCATTCTGCGAGAAAGGTGCAGAAGAACATCTGCCGCAAAAATCACATGATTTGAATTTGGTTATAAATTTGTTTACAACTCAATATCGAAATGCCATCTTTGAAGAGGAGAATAATGTGTTCAGCAAAATTGACAGTTGTCATCAAATGTGAATAACATTATTACCGGTAAGCATGGAAATACTTCTGAATACTGTACCAGTTATCAAATCCCGCCATGACCTGTGTTACTCCTGTTTTTACATTAAATTTCACACATAATGTTTAATCTTGAAGTAAACGAAAATGGTTGATTTAGAAATCATAAACAATGGCGTTATACCGGATTCTGCCGTAAATCTGCCCAGGGCCGTTAAACGGCAGTTTGGGTTTTTAAAAAAATAAAATGGGACCAAGAAATTGCGATTTTTCAGCAGTTTTTAAAGTTTTTTTTTTTTACATATTTTGGCGTAATTTTTCGGACATTTCAATCTTTCCTGATGCCTAAAATAGTCTATTTAGTTTTTATATAGTCTATTAAATGGGTAAGCTTCGTTTCGACAATGAGCTGTTATCACTGTAAACAATTTTAAATTATTCTTCTAATGCTCAGTTTATCTTTTGAAAACAACTATTTTTTGATTTGAAAAAAAGTCATGCCATTTTCCCATCAAAATCCAAACCAAAAGATCGTACTACAACATCGGCAAATCTCTTCCGCGTTACGTTCAATAACATTAACATATTTAAATGAGCTATAGCAATTTGAACACGTTGGCATCATCCAGCATTTTGATTGGTTAATTAGCGATTTGACCTATTAGGTGAACTCGTGCAACATGACTGATACCCTACAGCATCGAGCGTTTATATGCGACCGGAATCATTTGCTAAACCACAGTCCCTCTATTTGAAGGTAGATAGAGAGACTGTGGCTAAACTAAGTTGAATTTTATTTGCATTTCATAACAATTCAACAAATTTATTTTTTTGTGCATTATTATAATGACTACTGAGCAATAATCAACA